AAAGAATTTTTGTGAGTTTATTTGAGCGAAACTAAGTATGTTATCTTAGAGGCAAAAAGGCAAATGGGCTCAGTAAGGATCAAAGTTGATCTTATCAGTGAAGATACTGGCCTAGGACATAACTGCCCGCCATCACTGCTTTTAAAGTTTAATTTCAGACCATCCTTTGTGGTTATTTTAGGTCTCTGAGTCTGCTAGGCTGCCACGCAGGCCTTCCCTGAGCTTGTCAGGTCAGCGTGTGGCCCCTTTCGTCCACACTAGGCTCTTTGGTTGGCCTAGTAATTACATTGATACAATATAGGTTAACAGGGGAACACAATCAACAAATTATTAACATTTATAGCGCCCATATACACGGAAACAACTCAGAAAAACAGTAACTGGCCAAAATGGCAAACACCATCATCTGAAAAGTCACCTTCACCTACAGTCAAAAAATATTGTGTGTGGAGAGTCAGTTAGGGTGGATTGTCAGGAAAAGCACAGTAAGGACCTCAGTTGTGGTCCGGTGTGCTGTGCACTGCGGTGAGGGCTTGTACTCAAAAGGACTCTGTTCCAACCCAAAGACCCAGGGTGCAGACACAGGAGGCTCGGAAGGAGGATTGGGATCCAGAACATGATCCAGGCTGCAGGGAAAGCATGGTGAGAGCCATTGTCTCATTCAGCCAGTAGGGATATAGAGGATGGAATCACATGGCAGTGGGTCCTACGCATGAATAGGAGGTGAGCACCGGTCTAATGAGACCAGGATAATGTAGGACTCCAGCATCACTTCCGAATATTAGGTCCCCAAATACATGTCCATTGTCTCATCTCCTGCAGGATGAATATGTGTCACATAGGAACACCATTTGAAGGGTCAAAATGAGGCATGAAATTCATCACAGTGGATGGGATCACAGCATGACACCCAACATGTGGACAAAGGTGCAGAGACCCAGCCCTAAATACCGAGGTCTCCTGAGGGTCATAGTCTGTGCTGGGATCACAGGGGAGGCAGACAAACAGCAGCTCACTCTGAAAGCAGATTCCCCTGGAGAAACCATTGCACTTTGAAATGAAGGTGTTCCCCTGAACACGGGGAGGCCAAGGGTAAGTGCTCTGAAGTGTAAAGGGGATGGGAGGAAACGCATAACTGCAACCATGGAAACAGGAGCTGCAGCTGAGCCACCCTGGTCCTCATACTGTACCTGCTCCAGGGAGGGCTGCATATCAGTGGTAGAGACTGTGTCCGATGCTGGAGAAAATGGTTAAAATCCACCCCCTTGAATCTGACACTTGTCTGTGGTGTAAACATGGGGAGCTGATTCATTTCTCAGATACTGAATATTTTTAGTAATTGGATATGAGTTTCCACTTGCCCAGGTTGTTGTGAGAAACGAGAAAATCCTCAAAAATCTAACCCCTGGAACCCTGGCAATAAGTACTCACCTTGTTACTTGTATTGAACTTGGAAGGCCAAAGTAAGTGTCATCAATCATCTGCATGTCACATTCAGCCAACTGAGACTCAGGGAGCTCTAGTGAGTCTGCTGGAAATTCGCAGGTGGGGCCACCACAATCACACCTGAGTGCCCACAGAACCTGCCTCCCTGTAGCAGAGTCAGGGCTTCTTATAGGTCCCATTATACAATAAAAGCCTAATATGCAAATTATCTGCTGAGGCAGTCATTGACCAGGAGTTCAACTGTCCAGGAGTTCAACTGCTTGATATGACGTGTGCTGACCACTAGTAGGCAGCACAGAACATAGCGGGTGACCATGGAGGCACTGACAGCCCCAATGGACACCGACAAGGGGACCCCGGTGGGATGGTGGAACAGACGGAGCAGGGAGTGCGTGGCTCCAGGCCAAGGCCAGGTACAGGCTGGGCTGCAGGGCTGCAGGGCTGCAAGGCTGGAGGTGGGAGGTGGAACTGTGACGCTGGGGGTGCAAGCTAGGGCCCAATCTCCACAGGCCACCCCTAGGGACCCCGCTTGTAGAAATATTTCGTGCACTGGGCCTTTAGTTTCCTATAAAATGCACCCAAAGACAAAGGTGCGTGTGGACATTGGGGGAGTAAGAAGTGCCTGGCCTGAGAATGTCTCTGCAGGGAAAGGCTGGAGTTGCCAGGAGAGAAAGAGATAAAAACATCCCTAGCCAGTTTGGCTCAGTGTAGAGCATCAGCCTGCAGATTGAAGGGTCCCAGGTTTGATTCCGGTCAAGGGCACATGCCTGGTTATGGGTTCAGCCCCCAGGATGGTGCATGCAGGAGGTAGCCAAGCAATGATTCTCTCTAATCATTGATGTTGCTCTCTCTCCCTCTCTAAAATGAGTAAAATAATGTTTTTTAAAAAGAGACAAAATTTAAACATCAATGATGAGAGGAAATCATTGATTAGCTGCCTCCTGCAAGCCCCACTTTGGGTATCTAGCCCGGGGTGCAGCCATGTTCCCTGACTGAATGGAACGGTGACCTCCTGGTTCATAGGTCCACATGGAACCACTGAACCATGATGCTGTGGTCTCAACATTCATGTTTCTATCTCTCAGTACCTCTCCCTTGCTCAATGAAATCAATAAAAATTGTTTAAGTAAGTTAATATATTTATTAAAAAAGAAAAAATATTAAAACATATTCCAATACAAAAAAAAGTTTACTTCATAAAATGAAAAAGGCACAAAATAAGTAAAATTCCAACATCCACCTCTATTGTTTCACTGTGTTTTATTTGAAGAAAACTGCCAAAACTCACAGCACATTATGCAGAACATACAGTAAGGTATTTTAACAAATATACAGACTCAACAAATACACATCGGAAAAAGGCTCACCATAAATTCCTAGAAAAAATATAATAAAAAGTGATGTACAATGACAAAGTTACAGAATATGTTTATATAAAAAATGCTTGATCGAACAAAATACTTTCTAGCATGTGAACAGCTCACACACTAGTGGAAAAATGCAAAAAGGTACAATCAGTTTATTTTTAAATAGTTTGATTTTTAAATATATATATTTATTGACTATTACAGAGAGATAGAAAGAAGCACAAGTGATGAGAGAATCATAGATTGGCTGCCTCCTGCACATGTCACACTGGGGTTTGAGCCGGCAACTTGGGAATGTGCCCTGACTTGGAATCGACCCATGACCACCTGGTTCATAGGTCAAAGCTCAACGAATGAGCCAGGCAAGATGGGCACTTTTATTAAAATTTGGAGAAAGGGCAAAAAAAAAAAAATTTGGAGAAAGAGAGAGAAACACGATACGAGAGTACATCGACAAGGCTTCCTCCTGCACACCCCATTCTGGGGAGCTAGCACACAATCCACACACAAGCCCAGTAATCCAAAATAGTAACTCTACTGTGCATGGCATCACACCTAAACAGGTAAGCTATAGCATCCATGATGGCATATTCAGTTTAGATCACACAATGTTAATCTTTGTAAATTTTAACATTTATATACAGATCAGGCACGGAATTTTTGGTAAAGATAAATGAAACATATCTATATATAAAATTATACAATAATGTTTGTACCAACTTTATTAGAAATGACCAAATATTCATAAAAAATGGATAAACTATTGGTGATATATTCAAAGGTAAGAATACTTATCAGGAAAAAGATGACTTACTAATATATCTTTAATAAATCTCCAAGAATTTATGAAAATAAAACATAAAAATCCTTAGAAAAATGCAAAGTGATCTATTAAAATGGAATGTCAATCAATGGTTACTTAAGCTGTGAAACACAGAGACACATTTAAAAAAGTCATGAACCAAGTTCACAGTGATAGATATGGTCAGTATTATGATTACAGTGATGGTTTTAGTTACATTAACACATCATGATTTATGAAACAGTATACCTAACCTGTATTTTACTCATTATACCTTTTTAAATATGATTCAAAATCTAAGAATGTGTATTTTCAACTATATTGGAAAAACAGGTTTGGCAAATCTATAAGCAATCCACCTTCTTATGCCCTCTGAAACAGAAAATGTAATAAACAATGAACTTTCACCCAAACCAACAAGAATGCTATCTGGGTCACAAAAGCCACATCGCTGGACTAGACACCCTTTGCCTTGTCTTTGTTTTTCTGCCAGCGCACCAATGGCTCTGATGGGAACATCTGAGAAGCTATAGGAAGCCACAAAACCTACTGATTATATTGAATGACTGTTTCCGAAGAAGATAAACATGCCTGGAGATCCTCAGATCTGTGTACACACTGCTCCTGTAGTCTTTTTCTCAGAACCATTCTTGCATGTAAGTTTAGATGAGGAACATTCCATCTAATGGGCTGTAATCCCCTACGAACTCATCAGGTCAATGTTTCTGTGGTGAAATGGTTTCCCCTAACTGCTACAGTACTCCAATCGGTGACCATTAGCCATGAAATTGTAGACTTTAGGGCACATGACCCTCTGCAAGACCTGGGCAAGTGTATGGACAACCCTTGAGAAACAAGAAAAAAATTCACGCTGCTAAGAGATATACCTGAACTTGTCACAGCTACCTCCTTTTTGGAGTGATCTCTGTGTCTCAAAGCATCCATCTTCACATGAGAAGTAGAGTGTACACAGTGTTTCCTTGGAAAATATGGGCAGCAATGTAAATTTGCAAAAACCTGATGAGCTAATTTCTGAACCATACGGTTCCCCCAAGGGAAAAATGTTTGAGACCCCAAAAAGTGTTTCACCTCAACATGCTTGGAAAGCCCTGATCTCCTCATAAACTAACCGATAGAGTAACTAGAACACCCCAGATTAAAGAAGGCTTAAGAAAAAGCCTTCATTATTTTACAAACCAAAGAGACATGAGACTGGCAGTTCTTCCATTGATGACTTAGGCACGCAATAAACTCATCATTAGCATCTACGGAAAGTGTGTCCCTGAAGAAACTACATTTCCTACACATCTAAGTAATTACTCACATTTGGACTCATATGGGCAGAGCAAATTTAGAAATTTGGCTGAGATATCTCTGTCATTTGCAAGCATAATGGCTTTCTCCAGTTTGAACTCTCTGATGGTAGTGGAGACCATTGCTACTTTTGAAAGATTTCCCACATTCATTGCATTTATAAGGCTTTTCTCCACTATGAACTCTCCGATGACGATGAAGGGCAGTGTTCCAGGTAAAAGATTTCCCACATTCACTGCACACATAAGGCCTTTCTCCAGTGTGAACTCTCTGATGAGAAGAGAGCTCACTGCTCCGGGTAAAACATTTCCCACATTCACTGCATTTATAAGGCTTTTCTCCAGTGTGAAAACTTTGATGATAATGGAGGCTACTGCTATTGGTAAAACATTTCCCACATTCATTGCATTTATGAGGTTTTTCTCCAGTGTGACCTCTCTGATGTCGATGAAGGAGAGAGCTCGTGATAAAAGATTTCGCACATTCACTGCATTTATAAGGCTTTTCTCCAGTGTGAACTCTCATATGATAATGAAGGTAACTGCTAGTGGTAAAAGATTTCCCACATTCATTGCATTTATAAGGGATTTCTCCAGTGTGAACTCTCTGATGACGATGAAGGTGAGAGCTTGTGAGAAAAGATTTCCCACATTCACTGCATTTATAGGGCTTTTCTCCGGTGTGAACTCTGTGATGACGATGAAGGTAGCTGTTACTGGTAAAAGATTTCCCACATTCACTGCATTTAAAAACTTTGATGATAATGGAGGACACTGCTACTGGTAAAAGATTTCCCACATTCACTGCATTTATAGGGTTTTTCTCCAGTGTGAACTCTCAGATGACAATGAAGGTCGCTGCGACTGGTGAAAGATTTCCCACATTCACTGCATTTATAAGCCTTTTCTCCAGTGTGAAAACTTTGATGATAATGGAGGCTACTCCAATTGGTAAAAGATTTCTGACATTCACCGCATTTATAAGGCTTTTCTCCAGTGTGAACTCTCTGATGACGACAAAGGTGACTGATGGTGATAAAAGATTTCCCACATTCACTGCATTTATAAGGTTTTTCTCCAGTGTGAAAACTTTGATGATAATGGAGGACACTGCTACTGGTAAAAGATTTCCCACATTCACTGCATTTAAAAGGCTTTTCTCCAGTCCAAACTCTCTGATGATGATGAAGATTACTGCTGCCAATGTCTTCCTCACATTCTTTTCTGGAGTAAAAACCTTTTTTCCTTTGAAACATCAAACCACCCACAGAAATATCATTTAGACTGTCCCAGGTCTGATCAGCCTTTAGGTGGAGATGTCCTGACAAGGAAAGCATGCCCTTCCTAGGCTCCCCACAGGTGAAATGATTCTGGGACACACTGAAATTGCAGCCATTTGAACGTGACATCCTCTCCACACCCCTAATAAAAGTGTTCTCTCTCACATGTTGCTGGTGAAATTTTGCACTGAAATAAAATAGTTCTGTACATGCCCCACACCTCAACAGCATCTGTCCATGTTGTGTTCCCTGCAGCTCAGTCAATTGGAAAATCTTTCTCAAGACTAGCCCACAACTCTCACAGGGGTGGCTCTTCTGGGAAGACAAGGCTAACTTGGGATTCCTTGCCTGTGACACTCTTACAGAAACCTTCTGTTCTGTCAGGGCTTCCACATTCTCTGCTCCACAGCAGCAACCTGAACAAAGGAAACACTGGTGAAGTACATGCTGACCTTATGAAATCAGAATATCTTTACGGAAAGTGTTTCTCTGTCATGTCTAGGCATGATTCCATAGAATGATTTCCAAGACAAGTGAGTTGAACTCTAAAGAAATAGCTGTTATATATTACCTGGTCAGTGATAAAAATCTCACCAAAACAGGAACAAAAGCTTAGGGTGGGAAACAAAGAAGAGAGGAAGGCTCTACTCATTGTTCTTCCACAAACGGCTCCTTTTAGGACCTTTCATGCTGGGGACCTGCGTCTGTGTAGGATAATCTGAATGTGCGCAAACCCATACAACACAATTGTATTGAAGCACAAGATGTTCAAGGACAATATAATAATACGTGTGTGCTCCAAAGCTCTGCAGGCATGGACCTATGTTGGTTTGCAGTAATGAGGGACCTGTGAAAGAGGTACAGGTGCAACATCTAGAGAGATTAAAGTTATCTGTGGGCTTGGATTCTAAGTAGAAATGGTCATTATTACCCCTAAGGAGTTCGCAAAGTGTCCACAATAAGCCAGTAGAAGGGGAATTGGGTGAGAAATGGGTCATGGAAACAAAATACTTTTGAACAAAATGGGTTCCTAGTTATGACTTTAACAAAGCCCTGGTGTCAAAAGCTTTCCCACTGGCCTTCACTAAGGCAAGACTGCCTCTGGGTCTATCCTGTCATTCATCGGGTCATGTTTCTTCTGTGATGCACAAATGATTCTTCCCCATGAATCCCAACTGAGCCAAACATGGGATTCAGATGAAATAAATCCAAAAGAAAAAACCAAAGAGATGTATGGTGAGCATTGAGGAAGAACTACAAAGCGCGACAGAGATCACAGGAAAAAAAAAATCTGTGTGAGTGACATCAGCAAGATGGCTGAGTAAGAAATATGATAATCCTTTCCACTCTCAGAACAAGTAGACAGCTATCCATGAACAAAAACAACTGCAAGGGGTTAAGAATACAGTGAAACCCTGGCTGCTTTTGCTCAATGGTTGGAGCGTCGGCCTGCAACCAGAAGGGTCAAGGGTTTGATTCCGTGTCAAGGTTACACACTTCGGCTGAGTTTAGCTCCTTGGCCTGCCTGGTGGGTGCGAGAGGCAACCAGTCAATGCGTCTCTCACACATCAAAGTTCCCCACTCTGTCCCCACTCCCTCCTTTGCACTCTCTCTGAAATGCACCATGGTTAAAAAAACAAAACAAAAAACAGCCCTGACTGGTTTAGCTCAGTGGATAGAGCGTTAGCCTGTGGATCTAAGGGTCCCAGGTTTGATTCCGGTCAAGGACATGTACCTTGGTTTTAGGCATATCCCCAGTGGGTGTGTGCAGGAGGCAGCTGATCGATGTTTTTCTCTCATCAATGTTTCTAACTCTCTATCCCTCTCCTCTTTGTGAAAAATCAATAATATATATATATAAAAACAAAAAAAAAACAAAGTGAGGATTTTTAAAAAAATTAGTGCAATTAAGACCAAAAAGAATTCAGTAGACACACACACAAAAAAAGCTGAATTACAAAGAGATGACCAGAGTAGGTTACCAAACATATTTAGCTAGGGTCAATGTGGGTGCTCTGTGCAGAGGACATGGGATGTTCAAGGCCAATCTGAGCTTAGGACTCCTATTCAGAGTGTTCGAGGCTAATTTGCTATACACAGTCATAAAAGCAAGTACATAGCAAGCTATACTAGTCACTGTGCAGGCGTGCACTTCTATAACCCAAAGACTAATGTCACTATTTCGAAAGGAGCCTCTTTTGTCTAAGTTGATATATAGTATGTTCCTGACCAGCCAGTACGTAGCTGCTTGGGTGAATTACTGTGTTTGCAATGGTTAGATTACTATGTTACCAGCGGCTACGAAGTATGGCTCTTAGGCTGGGTCCTATGTTGGGGGCTGCTTTGTAGGGATGTATTGTTAACCAGCCAGTGTGCAGCTCACTACTTTATAGACTACTTTGCCAGACTTTACTTTGAAGAACTGTTTTGTCTAGCAGTGGTTCTCAACCTTCCTAATGCCGCGACCCTTTAATACAGTTCCTCATGCTGTGGTGACCCCCAATCATAAAATTATTTCTGTTGCTACTTCATAAGTGTAATTTTGCTACTGTTATGAATTGTAATATAAATATCTGATATGCAGGATGTATTTTCTTTTTTTAAATATATTTTATTGATTTTCATAGTGATTAATCACAAAAACAATATATAATTATATATGTGTTTTCCGATGGTCTTAGGCGACCCCTGTGAAAATCATGACCCACAGGTTGAGAACCGCTGGAGTGGCTCCTTGGTAGCAATGGCTACTTGGAGTGCAATAAAGACTCTCTTATATACCCACAACTTCTCATATCTTCTTCTCCATCTAATACCTGGCGTCCATAAAGGCCCAGTTCCTGGCAGAGAAGGACCTGTGATCTCATAGTCAAAACAAGGATCAGAATTTCCTCTATCAACCACTGCACTTGCACTAATGTTGACCCTATTGTCCTACTCTGTGAAAAACCCTTGATATTTTTGTATTTACGAATCACAGAATTCTGTGGAACATTTGTGAACTCCCCAAGGTCTACTTAATCAGCGGACCCCATAATATCAGCATGCATCCCAGAAGAAATCCCTTTGACAAGAACCTATCCCAGGAATAAAATCAAAAAGCAATATGTCCCAAAGTATTTGCCACGAAAGACTCTAAAACCGTCACTTATCATTAAAAAAAATAATAATTTGCTACCCTTGTTGGTTTGGCTCAGTGGATAGAGTGACAGCCTGCGCAACCTATCCCAGGAATAAAATAAAAAAACAATGTCCCCAAAGTATTTGCCATGAAAGACTCTAAAACCATCACTTGTCATTTAAAAAAATAATAATTTGCTGCCCTTGTCGGTTTGGCTCAGTGGATAGAGCGTTGGTCTGCAGACTGAAGGGTCCCAGGTTCGATTCCGGTCAAGGATACATGCCCGGGTTGCGGGCACGATCCCCAGTAGGGGACGTGCAGGAGGCAGCCAATCAATGATTCTTTCTCATCATTGATGTTTCTCTCTCTTCCTCTC